TCAAGGATCTCATACCTGTGTCACTTTTTGGGGTTTTATTTCTATCATAATATCCGTTTCCATGTGTGGTTGGCTACGGAAGACCCCAATGTATAATAAAATGGCCCCTGGAGGGCACAGACATTAATGCTGAATTCATTGTAATAGATAGAGCATGGTTTTAGGCTAAAACCAAGGATATAGTACTGCCCGCAACACTAACAGGCTTTCACGTAAATGACATAAAATCCTCGAGGTTAGGCGGGGCAGTTTTATATCTTTGGATTCAGCCTAAAACTGGGACCAATGCGAGATCCCCGAAGTTGATCAACCATATCCACTAGTACTTGGTTTTGCTTGATAAATCTTACTCCTAGTGTGTATATGATCACAGACTGGCTGAGGTTAAACCTAGCAGTGCTCATATGGATCAATAACCACAGTAGTGGTTATGCATACATGACTTACGAAGCATTAAGACATTTAGCTGAATCGATTGAAAAATTGTGTGCATTTATTGAATCAAAAGCTTTTTGGGACTTTGACTACATCATAGCACATGACATGTGTAGTGTACAGTCAAACCTGCCAAGGAGACCATCTCTTCAAGCAGGCCACCTGACCATGGTGTAACCGCTTTTTCTCGGTCCCCAAAAATTTCCCCATTGGCACAAGCATTAATAAAGCAACCTTACGCTTTGTACTACAAAATCACATTTGAGATTCACAACAGATTTACTACCAAACACACTCAACTGTCACTAAAATTTAAGAGCATCTGGACAACGAAGATTGAGGGCCTCCTTATGGCAAGTTCATTTGTACAGTAGTAATGGTTGCTACACGCATTTTTCTGCATTGAGACATCAAGTACTCACCCAACAAAGGAGACTGAAGGGTCATGTATAGGGACGGGTATAAACTGACTTTCTTCCTCCCCATACCGGTAGTAGGGCGATAGTGCTCCAGACCCCTCAGTGACAGGGGTCAAATTACACTGAAAGGAAGCCTAGTCTCTGTCAAAAACCTGTTATAATGCCAAAACTGCACATATGTTGCTCATATGTCACAACAGGGTAGACTTTGAGTGCCATCAGATTAAGGTCAAAGGATCAGAAAGTTTAAATAGCATGCAAAAAGCTTGGCAGTACCAGGGATATTAAGTGGTGGAATATTCAATTTATGATGGTATAGGGGGAGGAGTAAATGTTCCGCACTTGCTTGCAAATGTTGCGATTGACCATTATTTTCCCCCAGCATGTGCATTTAACAATTGTGCATGTATACATTTAATTGGATATCAAACAAGTTGTAAAATAACGTTTAGGATGTTTTGAACAGAAACAGCTTTTGTGTGCATGCACTTAATCTGATTTATTTTATTCCATATAATCACACAGAGTGTACCTAAAGGTCATGGGTCCAAAGATGACAGCTGGGAAGACGTTAGGTACTCCTATTGTCTTCCAGATTATGTGACATCATTGCAGTACCACCAAGAAATTCCCCAGACTACAAACATTTTTGATGTACTGAACACAGAAGAGGTAATATTTTTATGCTTCTCTCTTTCTGTTTGATTATTGTTGTCATGAGGCTTCAGAAGTACCCTAACTAAGAAGTAACCAACAAACATCCCAGCATAAACATTCAGTGTGACACAAAGATGTCATGTTGAAACCCTGCTGTGGAAACATATGATCATACATTACATGTATATTGTATACTAGTTCTATGTGAGTGCCTCTTTTGGTCATTTTACAATAAGCAGCCGTGAGGGTACTTTTACGCTTGTGTAAAGTTGCATGACTTTGACCAGGTACAATGTAGGCTGACTGTCAGATTGCACAGTCAAGGAGTAATGGACATTTGCAATTTACAGAAAATGTGTATTGTCTCTAACGTTTGGTTCCCTTCTGATTTTTCACTTAAAAGATTCAAGCTATGTAAGTGGGTCTGCATGGGGGGTCCTGCTTACTCCTGGTGGTTAAATGATGAAGGCTCGCAATGCTTAACGGTTAATTCTGAAAGGCCAGCAACGCTCTATGGTAAATTCTAGCGGTGCCGACTGGCAAAAAAGAGAAGGGGCTGTAGTACTTACCTCCATGGAGCTAGCTCCTGGAGGTGAGTAGTACAGCCTTGCGGCAGATTTTTTCCAGCTCCATGGAGCTAGCTCTACGCACTATGAATGCATATACGTGGTTCACGTCACCTTCAAGAAAAATACATATACATGGTTCACGTCACCTTCAAGAAAAAAGACAATAGGGGCTGTACTAATCGCCTCTATGGAGATAGCTCTACGCGCTATGAATGCATATACATGGTTCACGTCACCTTCAAGAAAAAATGGCATGGCCTCTATAGAGCCAGCTCCATGGACGTGAGTAGTACAGCCTTGCGGCAGATTTTTTTCCAGCTCCATGGAGCTAGCTCTACCGTAGTACGCACTATGAATGCATATGCGTGGTTCACGTCACCTTCAAGAATAATACATATACATGGTTCACGTCACCTTCAAGAAAAAAACAGCTCTATGAATGTCCTCAGAAATAAATGGCTGTACTAATCGCCTCCTTCAAGCTAACTCTACGCACTATGAATGCATATACATGGTTCACGTCACCTTCAAGAAAAAATGGCATGGCCTCTATAGAGCCAGCTCCATGGAGCTGAGTAGTACAGCCTTGCGGCAGATTTTTTTCCAGCTCCATGGAGCTAGCTCTACGCACTATGAATGCATATACACGGTTCACGTCAACTCGAAGAAAAGTTGGCCTCTATAGAGCTGGCTCCATGCACTATGAAAGCATAAGTACATGGTTTGCGTCACCTTCAAAACATTTTAGGAATGGCAGCGCTGTGCAGCTGGCACTGTGTGTACGTACATGTGTCATTCACAAAGGGCCGCAAAACCAAAAGAATATCATCAAAGGTTTACAAATACCAATAAACCGAACTAAACCATTTTCAGGAGCGTGGTATTTCTTATTGAAGGCAACGCGAAGCACGTTTATGTATTTATCTTGAAGGTGACGTGAAACATGGTTCTGACCATCCTTGTTCGCGCCGGCCTGTTATTAATTAGTGTTGCTTGTCCCCTTTGTTTGTGGGCCCGGGGACCGTTCATTATTTGTCGCTTGTCCCCTTTGTTTGTGGGCCCGGGGACCGTTCATTATTTGTCAACTAAAGAAGGCGTAATGGAAACCAACACCGCGAATACTGAAAATTCTATATTTCACAATGTCAATGGCCTCAACAGGGCTTTTTCGTTTCGATATCATGTTTTCTTTTATGTATGTCAGTTCTAAAATGAACACCAACATTGTTCGCAAGCTGAGCCACGATAGATTGCAGAAAATCGTATCTCTGTGCCAATCATTGACAAAGGTCATTAGGTGACATCGATATCGTGGTCAGGATGAGGTCCCGACAACTTTTAAACTGGAGAGCTCAAATAAACCTCACTGACTTCGATATGCAGAAAACGCCATGCAGACCACGAGACAAGTTATGGTGACTCCACGCAGTATGAATTCCAACACATGGTTTACGTCACGAAATTTAGTGTAGTGTATACATTCAATCAATACACAAGGACAGCCTTGCCGTAACACAATCAAACACGATCATCCAAGATTTACAAATACCAATACTAGTAAACCGATCCAAACAATTTTCTGTACCATTTTCTGGAGTGTGGTATTTTTTCTTGAAGGCAACGCGAAGCACGTTTATGTATTTATCTTGAAGGTGACGTGAAACATGTATGTGCATTCAAAGTGCGTGGAGCTGGTTCTGTGCGTAAAACAGCCTCGAGAAGAACGACACTGTGTGTACATGTATGATCATGTATCGTTCTCAGTGTGTGGGGCCGTATAGAACACCACCAAACACGATTATCCAAGATTTACAAACAACAATACACCGATCTAACCATTTTCTGGAGCGTGGTATTTTTTGAAGGCAACGGGAAGCACGTTTATGTATTTATCTTGAAAGTGACGTGAAACATGTATATGCATTCAAAGTGCGTGGAGCTGGGCCGTAACAAGTTTAAACACGATATGTTCTAAAACGTGATTTCTACATTGTAGGTGACGTGAACCATGTGTGTTCTTTGTGCACGGGGCTGTTTATTTCTCAAGACATTTATAGCGCTGGTTTGTTTTCTTGAAGTGACGTGAACCATGCATTTTTCTTGAAGGTGACGTGAACCAGGCATATGCATTCATAGTGCGTAGAGCTAGCTCCATGGAGCTGGAAAAAAATCTGCCGCAGGGCTGAAGTACTTACCTCCATGGAGTTAGCTCCATGGAGCTAGCTCCATGGAGGTGAGTAGTACAGCCTCTATTGGCAAAAAAGTCACAATGTTGCAAGCAAGAGCTGTTGCGTAAACTTGCAATGAAGCATGCAGATAATGCACAATAAAAATAGAAGGGAGAAAAGTAATGATAATGCAACCAAGATTGACTCTGGATGTGCTCCCTCATCCTGCTACATTTGTATACCCGGCCAGTACTGACCAATAATGACACAGAACTCCACTGATGTCATTGGTTATCTCATGCCCAGGTTAGGCGACAGAAATCCTGAGTACAAGCTTAGGATGACTCAATATGTCATCCACTGGGCTATCTGCTATGGCTTACGAAAAATTGGTAGTCCAGACTATGATTTTAGGGAATTTGTAGGCTTGATTACACTTTAAACAAATTACAGGAAACTTTCACTGAATAAAATAGCTTCTGTAATGACACAGTGATCATAGTGATTTCAGTATAGGACACTTTATGTTAAACTTATCCACCTTCAATGTCTGTTACAGGAAGGAGACATCCTTCCCTTACATGTTTCAAAAGAGAGAAAAGGATACAAGACCAACAGGGGGGGGGAAGAGGTCAAGGGGCAGGCGCTCAAGGGGGCGACACTCAAGGGGCAGGCACTCAAGGGGGCGACACTCAAGGGGCAGGCACTCAAGGGGGCGACGACTCAAGGGGCAGGCACTCAAGGGTGCGACACTCAAGGGGCAGGCACTCAAGGGTGCGACACTCAAGGGCCAGTCGTTCAAGGGGATCATCATCGTCAAAAGTAAGTATGTTGCACAGGTTCCCATTTATTAAGGATTGGCATGTGATTTATTTTCCTACTCTGGCCAAGGTCTCTGGAATTCTTGCATGGTAATCTTGTCCATTACTTTGACCAATTACGCGGACTGTCGCATTGCATCTGGTTTACTGAAAGACACATGTAAATGAGGAATTGACAATTGTGCAATGTACATTTAATGTCTCATACTAACTTATATTTATGGCTTCACCACAAAGTGGTGAAGACATATTGTATTCTCTCATGTTTCTCCTTCTCCTGCCATTTCTTTAAATCGATTCATCTCTGCCGTTTTGGGGCAAAATAACACGAAATTTGGCATGAAGGTAAAGTGGGCAAATACCCCGACGCATGTTTTTCATTTTTTTTTGAAAAATTGTTTTATTTGGGTTTTTTGACCATTTTCAGGCAAAAAATATACATTTTTGTACATTTTGATATCTGGGGCCCTGGTATTAAAACCAAATGACCTGAAATTTGGTATGGGGATACCCTGGACATATGTCCACAAAAATTCATTCAAGTTTTCATCATACACCACTTTAAAATTGGGAAAAATAGGGCTTTTTGGCTATTTTCGGACCAAAAATGTACATTTTTGGCTCCTGTGCCTTAATATCAATTCCGAATGACCTGAAATTCGGTATGGGGATACCTTGGACACATGTCCAAAGAATGTCATTCACGCTTTTGACATATACCACTTCAAAATTGCGTAAAATAGGGCTTTTTTGCTATTTTCGGACCAAAAATGTACATTTTTGGCTCCTGTGCCCTAATATTAAATCCGAATGACCTGAAATTTGGTATGGGGATACCTTGGTCACATGTCCAAAGAATGTCATTCACAATTTTGACATACACCACTTTAAAATTATGTGAAATAGGGCTTTTTGGCTATTTCCGGCATTGGAAGGTTCCATTGGTGCATGGGGGTGTAGACTATTCGCAGCCATCGTGGGATAGATCCATTTTTGGTATGGGGGATGTGGTGAAGCCATCGCTGCATTTGCTCTCAAGCAAATGTCGGCCTTTCTAGTTTACTTTTGATTTCTCATTGAAGAATAAAAAAATACTATATAAACTTACTGACACAGTGATCATAGTGATTAAGTGCAGACACCTTCTGTTAAACTTATCCACCTTCAATGTCTGTTACAGGAAGGAGACATCCTTCCCTTACATGTTCCGAATGAGAGAAAAGGATCCAAGACCAACAGGGGGGGAAAGAGGTCAAGGTGCAGACGCTCAATGGGATCATCATCATCAAAAGTAAGTGTGTTGCACAAGTTCCCATTAATGCTGAGGTCACATATCCAAACCAGGGCCCGGCCAGGCAGTCTTATGGAATGAAAAATATGTCATACAAAAGACAACAAACTGAAAGCACATGAAGATGAAAAAATGGTAACTGTTAGCGTATATTTGCGATACAAATTAATGATTTTTCGTTCAAAACAACCCGCCCGGGCCACGGTTTGGAAATGTGACCCTAGTACATGTGACCCTAAGGATTGGCACATGATTTATTTTCCTACTCTTACATGTACTCGCCAAAGTGTCTGGAATTCTTGCATTGTAATCTTGTGCATTACTGATTCGTCGGACTGTCGCATTGCAGGTTTACTGAAAGATGCATATAAATGCACCGGACGATAGAACAGACAAGACAGGACTGGAGCATCAGTCTTTTATGCTACTTCTCCACTGTACAATCACTTCCTCGCCCGTTAGCGGGTACAGTTTGACTTTACCGTAGCAAGAATCAATTTCATCAAATTCTTACAGCGATTGACTTTATGTATAAAACTTAAGCCATCGCAGGCTCTTGTGTTTTACCGCATTTGAATCTCTCTTAACTTAAGGTGTAATATTTAGCACAGAACCCTATGTAGCTAAGTCGTGGGAATCTTAATCTTAGATGGTTTTATTTGAATGACGATTACTATTTAAAGATACGCAGTACAGATTTAGAAGTAGGATAACAGTTTACATGCGTATTCTGTCCTTATTTAAGGTGCTGTACGTGTCAAGGAATCGTCTCACGACTGTGAGGAGGGAGGATTTCGCAAGGCTAACAAAACTGTCTTTTCTGACGCTATTCGTAAGTCGCAGGAGTTAACTATTATCCTCTCAAATTCGGAATTTTTCTTTGTTATTTTTTGTTCAATACGTTCTCAGTTCTTTGTGTTTAGACACTTTAATACACATAGCCAAAAGACGTTTGGCATAACAACAGCCTTCAATACGCAGTAAGCTTGTCTTTACTGCTTGAATTAAACGTTACAAACTACATTCATTTAGCTTAACATATGTGCTACAGCATAAATAAAAGGAAAAGTAACAACTTTAACGTTTACTTCATGCACTACTGTCGTATACGGCTTGTCCAAGGAAGTAAATATTTAATGCTAAGCAATTGTACAGTTGCTTAAGCATTTCAAAAGCTCTATTATGTTTACAACAGGACAATAAAATTACAAGTGAGGGACTGGAAGATGTTCATTCGCCAATCTCGGCAACCTTGTCTTCCTTAGTCTATATGGCAACCGTCTGACGAACATTTCTGCAGCAACATTTCAAGGTACACACAGCATATGTCATATCTACACCGTACATTGATAACAAGGAATATCTGTCATCATTTGTGATTGTGATGAGGTCTGAGGTCGCCAGGAATGTTTTTAGTTTTTGGTTTTTTTCTTTTAATGCCCACGATCCGATCATGATAATGATCATTCTGGCATACCAATTTTCACAAAGCGAAGTGACAAAAGTCATGTTAATTGCCTTTCCCAAGGGCACAAGGTTGGTGACATAGCAGGATTCGAACCCGGGACCTCTTGGTTCTAAGCCGAATGCCCTGCCGTTACGCCATATATACGACCCCACAAATGTACTGTGTAATCATGGTATGAAATATAAACCTTAGAGAACTAGCGTATACGCCAATGCTGTCTACATGGTCTTCTCTATTGCTAATCTCAAAGCAGATGTTGGGTGTTTGGAAGTTATGCAAACTTATGACAGTGTCTAATAGAAAGAATCCATTAGGCCAGGCAGTACAAAATCATTGAATGGCTCAATATTGCTTCATTACATTGATGTAAACGATTTTGATAATTGTAACAACGGGTGTTTTTGCAGGCTTGACGGCTTTGCAAACATTGTTACTTGGAGGAAATCAGTTCCAAAGCTTCCACGCGTTTGCTTTTGCCAATCTACCAACTCTAAGAACTCTTTTACTTCCGAGGTACATGTATCTCTCGTTTATAACGTTTTGATAATTTCATTATTAGGCTTATGATAACTCCTTTACGGTTTTGTTGTATTGTGGAGATAGCACCTTCTACTATGTCTTCCCAATTTTAATTCAATTCAGTGAAAGTTGAATAAATTTATATGGGCTGCATTTTAGGAATTGTAATGTTCATATTCATATTCAGCCAACAGGCTGCTATGGTAGAGACTTGCACTGCATCCAGTTTTTATGCCCAGTTAGTTATTTGTCGATAAACTAATGATACTGTTTGTTTATTTAATTTATTTATTTATAAATACTGTTATATATTTCTGTACGTCTCATCTTTGACGATGGACAAAGGAAAGAAAAATTAACTATTGCGTTTTTAACTGCAGGAACCCTTTCGATAGCGCTGCCTTACATCCTGATGCTTTCGGCAACCTGACGGCAGTGCAATATCTGGATATTGCCGGAGTAACGAGCTTGTCACCGCGTATGAGTTTACAGTTGTCTGTATATGCCTGGAATTGTCTCTAATGTGTTTTGTCGTTCGTCAAATCTATATCTATCAATCTACCAATCAATCTACCTATCTCTCTCTCTCTCTCTCTCTATATATATATAGATAGATAGATAGATAGATAGATAGATAGAGAGATAGACAGATAGATAGACATATAGATATATATGTCGAGAGAGAGCGACAGAGTAAAATCTTGTAAAATTGTACTTTGTGAAATTACTTACAATTGCTAAAGCTTCGTGCCATTTTCTAATGCTTTCCACCATTCTCCTTGTCTGTTCTTGCATAATTATTTTGTGGGGGCTGGGGGACGTATATTTTTCCCACAGGTGTGTTTCGCCACTTACCCTGCCTCCAAACTGTGACATTTGGGAACTGTCTTACCTGCGATTGTGAAATACTTGATCTAGCGAAATGGCTGAATAAAACAGGTACTTCCATGTACAACCTTACTGTTTTTGCTCTTCAATAAGTCAATTCAAACATACATTTAGAAAAAAATCAATACTAAGCATCCGTCGCCAAGGCAATAGTTTTATTGCAGTTCTTGTTTCTTTTGTATGCAGATGTGAAGGCTGAGCGATATGTCACTTCGTCACAGCCAGTGGCCTGCTACAATCCAGAGCGGTTGAAGGGACGTCCTCTCAGCAACCTTCGAGAGGAAGACTTGCAGATGTCGTGCCCAACGACAACCGACCCACCGCCCACGGAATGTACTGTGCAGACCTGGTAAGTGTTCACTAGTTTTTACTTCCGGGACGGAAGTTCTGTTTTGGGTGGCGTTAATGATGGTCTTTGCTGTCATTCTCTTAGTACATATACTACTTCATCTTCTACACAGTCCAACATCTCTTACGACTGAAGTAATGACATCTCCACGTCCTGTAACCACACCAAGCTCAACAACACCAACTTCGTCGTCCTTTACAACACGACAGCCAGGAACATGCACCGCCCCAACGGACGTCACCGTGCAAAACGTACAGGAATCCCGTGCTGAAATCTCATGGTTTCACGACGGTAAATCCATTAATTTGGACCTGACAGGATTCATTATTGAGTACCAAATGGTTTTTGGGCAGAAGTCGTGGACGAATACACAAGACATTCACCCCAATGGCCGTAACTTCGCCATATTCGACCTTCTTCCCAACACGCCCTACCAAGCCTGTGTGGCCGTTCTTTGCAAGAATGCGCCTAGAAAGCCAGGACTGGACCACTGTGTGCATTTTACAACGAAGATGAGATCTACAACAATAGTCGGCTTGGCCGTAGGCATCCCTTTGCTGCTCGTCATCCTCTGCCTAGTAGCGGCAATCGTCATTGTCCTGAAGAAGAGAGGGCCCTTCTCTACAGAGCAAGATGCTGGCCACACCCCTGAACGTCCTCAACGCCAGGTATTTCCTTTTTATTGCAATAACTAAAGATTTTTCCTAGTCTGTGTGCAACAGAAATTCACACTCTGGCTGTTTAGTGCTCTATGGAGCCTCTAAAAGTCTAATAGCAGGGTTTTAGGCCTTATAGAGATCATCTGCAAATCCAAGATACCGACAAGTTTCTTTTTTTTCCAATTGCAGGAAGCCAATCACAGCACAACCGGTGCAGTTGGCACGATTGAGGACCCGCCCTACAACAGCATCAACGACAATGATCCCCAGGTACGCCCTGATCGGGAGAACCAGTACCAAAACGCAGGATTCGAAGAGGAGCCAGGGGCGGATGGAATCACCAGCTCATATCTGGATTTTGGCAAAGCTGGGGACGTCCTTAATTCAGCAGGTTTGTTTGTCTGTTAGTATTATATTTGGTTGAGTGTCGGCAAAACGATTATGGCCCCCTGGCGGTTCTCTGTGGTATTGCAGCAAAACTTTCGGTTCTGATATATCTCTTCTTCTGGTCGCGCTATGGCCATTGTTTTGGGGGGTTTTGTATAACATTTTCTATTTTCTGGATGGGAGTATTGTTTTGGGTGGCGCTAATTCGTGCTTGGTTTGTATGTTTCGGTTCCAAAGGGAGTAGGTGGCGATCTGGTTTCACTTGAATTGACAGGGTTTTGACCCAGTATGCCCGAGATTCAAGAATGTGGTTGCAGGAAATGTATGAAACGTAAACCATGGTGTAATAGTTTTATCATGCAATCGTATGTCAATAATACATTCTATGACGGAACGCATTAAACTATATCCACCTCCTGGAAGATAAAGAGGCCTGTAGCCTGTTAAAGAGGCCCGTAGCGTTAGTGTATTTAAGAACATGTGTCAGGCCCACCTGCTCACACAGCAGAAGCACCAGACGACCCGGAGACGTGGCCCCAGACACGAGAACATTCTGGCGGCTAGGAACCGCATGAACTGTACTGGAGTGGTAAATGGACTGATAGATATTATTAATAGGTTGATATATTCTAATCTATGTTGATTCTTGATATGGTGATTTCATTTACTTACATTGTTTATGCCTAAATGTGTATCTTGTTCGTGTGTTCATGCTTGCCTTGTGTGTGGGCCACAACACCAGCCCCCGCTGCCTGTGGCCCACGAGTAAAATCAAAGAACCCACATATTATAGAAGAAGTGGGTAAATTCGTCTTCCATTGCCTAAAAAGAAGACGTCAAACCCAGTAAAACTAGTACCATGTATGTTGTAGAATTTAGTACAATGCTAGACGTAGATATTGTCCACATACCATTGTATTTTCTTTCTAAGTTGTTTGTAACTGCAATTAGCCCTCGGGCATGTATTTGCAATAAACTTTCGTTATGTATTTGCAATTTCAATAAATCAAATCAAATCGTTTTGTATCTGTGTGCAGCAAATGAGCCTCATCACGACGCACCCATTCCCGTTCCACGTGACAACCGAAGGCCCTCCTCGAGCTCCTTCAACAACCCCGTCTACACGGCGGACAGCGCCAACGAAAACATCTACACGAGAGTCAACGACGACGGCCTGGATGGAGCAATGGCAAGATCGTCATCCGCAAAGGAAGACGTTTACATCGATGTTATCGCTTAATCGATAAATTTGAGCCTGCATGTAGTAAAACTATGGCCCGCTTTACACACACCATTTCTAAGTCGATTCAGCGAAGTTGACTTGAAAAATTTCTGTTCACACACGGGGCCACAAAGCGACTTGGCACTCCCGTTGTGCCACCCTCCCCCCAAGTTGACTTGGTGGCTCGGTCTTGTCTGACTACTACTACGCAGAGACACTCAAGTCGACTTCGCCCGTTTACACACGCGAAGCTAGCGGACTCAGCACCCCGCTGGCCGACTTAAGTCTGGTTTGGATACGACTCAAGTCGTCTTGATTAGAATGCGACTTGAGTTGAATTATTTCTCTCTACACAGAGAAATTTTCTCTCAAGTCGACTAGCTCAAGTCGTCTTGAGTTCTAGTTGACTTGAAAAAGTTATGTGTAAAGCAGGCCTATGAAAACACTTTGCTAAATTTACCATATGTATAGCGATATCTGTGTTGATTAACCAGTAATTGTCGTTTAGGCCACAGCAAGTAATTTTATGGATGACATCAGCACGCGCATTAATTTTCGCCTGATTTTGGAGAGAGAAAAAAAAGAAATTTGTTCCCTTCTGACAGTGGTCACCATGCCGAAAATGGGCAAATATGTCTGTTGCCATGCTGGAAGGTTGATGGCAGATAACTATGAAGAGAGGAGGCAAGAAATGGCTCTGATTTAATGTTTTTTTTTCTTACTTTGATGCAGTGATATGTGATAGTGGCTGTGTATATGTGATGTTCCTACTGAATCTATACGATTATTGAGTCGAAATTTTAAAATGTAGGAACCTTGTTTTTTTCCGCCCGCCTTGTTTTTTTTTCGCCCGCTCGCATTCGATTTTGAGTCTGTGGAGGATGTCATGCATAAAATTTCCTTGCTGTGGCCAAATAAGGCCATAAGGCCTAAGGGAAGAAAAAAGAGAGAAAAGAAAGAATGAAGCAACCGGCCACGGCACCATTCATCTCTTTCTCTCGCCCGACTGTATATAAAACATCTATATAAGTTTTAAAACTTTAAAAACTTTGCTGACTTTTTACAATTTGTATGACGATATCTGTGCTGATTGATTATTATTACGGGAATTGTCATATTGTATTTTGTTTTCACGATGTATATCTCATTTTATCTTTCGTATTTAGGTGTAATGTTATGCTAATTAAAACTTGACAGATGTTCCAAACGAGAAGCTAACTACAATATACGTGTATTATACATTTATAACCCTTATACTTTCTGTAACTTAGCTGACATGTTACGCCGAAGGGTAGTTATACCGGTTATCATCATCATCATCATCATCATTCACTGTGTTCTGTGTCTACAGTCGCGTAGACGCAGAATAACCGGTCTGTATACCGGTTATACAGATACAGAAATGCAGATACTGAAACTCTTGAAATATTTCTACACGTATAAGACGTCATCATATAGACCAAAAAGCCACAATAACAACTTTAGTGGTGGTGTTATTACGTCAAATAAAATATAATTATTATATCAACATTGAACACTTTAATTGATAAATAAAGCCGCATTTTTGCAACGTTTTAACCTTTCTGATTCAAAGATGCTGTTTTGGCAACATAGCAGGATACGTTATTCAACAAGACAGATTAAAAGTTCGGCAATTCATACTTATACCACGTTTTGACACGTGCACATAATAACAGCTTTTGTGGTGGTGTTATTTAAAATAAAATGAAACTATTATATCAACATTGAACTCGTGTTTCGCACATTTAAGTAGTTTCCTTACTTCGCGTAAATTGGCAGCACAAATATATCCGTGTGAATATAATGATTGTACCAGCCTGATAAAATTAATATTAAGCATGTCAAGGGTTCCAACTGCGCATGCGCGAGGTCAAAACTGAAGGCCCTTCTTTTTAAGGTTCCGGGTCGGAGTTTAATTCTGACCAGAGTCTAAGTACGTGCGCAGTAAATCGCCGGAAACGTGACTTTGTATGGTATGTTTTGGCCGCGATATCCCTGAAATCGTAATATCTGTGTACATATCTTTGTATTTTCTGAAAAGCCTGTTAGTTGTAGCCTTTATAGGTGGCGTAATGTTGGTGGTCCAGCGAAGACTTCCTGGTATTCGTCCGCGCGGATGGTTATGTGGCCTTTTCGCCTGACCGCCGGGATGGTACGTTCTATATGCGTTCTGGGTGTGTTCGGGCCATCGAAGATAGCGATAAACTTATCGCATCGATTTTAATTAAATTCAAATTTTGGAAACATTAGGTTCTGAGCTTATTCGAGTACTAAGCCGTTATCCTGGGAAAATTCGTTTTTTCCATGCAGCCATGGTTAAAAATGACGAAAAAAATTACCCTTTTTTTCAAAATGTACTTTGATGTGCCTCATTTACCCTTAAATAAATTGGGCGCAGAAAATATCAATCAAGTGTATTGATAAGCGGCACGGCACCCCTTTCCACCAAAAGAGTGAAAAATTCCGACCCGCGTTTAGTACAGAAATGACAGCCCGTCGGGCTGAGGGTGTCAAATTGCTCGAAATACGGAGGGAAACTCCGGTCCGAGACCTTAAAACGGTTTCAGTCTTGACTATACTTAATACGTGTCCCGGCGTGTTTTGGTTGTCTCGGGGGCCTTTAACTTTGACATTTTACGAAAAAATGCAGCACGTCGTTTGTCCTTTACCTAGCCCGGAGCGAACTTGACATCAGTGTCTGCACAGGGCCTGAAGGACAAAAAATTACCTTTTGAAAGGAGGAAAGACCAGATTATATCGTCAACATACCACAGCCGTGTTTTCTTATTTTAAAAGAAACAAACTTTAGCTTGATTTGTATAAAAGTTACTGCGAATCCGATCACATGCATGGAATGTTCACACTGAATGTCTGTACTTATCTGGGAGGCAACTACATGTAATCCAGCAGAATAACTCGTACATTCAACTGTCAACCGTTCATAAGATATGACGTTGCAGATCATATCTCAACAACACATTTATACATCAACTTACATATTTCGATAAATAGAAATACCAGAGCCCTGGCAAAACCTACATGCACTCTTATGTGAGAAGGTGGGAGGGGGGGGGCTAAACCTGCCAAGGCCTTCGTCATCAAAACTTGTCAAACAACTTCTTCAGCTTGACTGAACTAATTCAGGAAACGGCGTCCAAAACCCAAACCACTTCATATGTGATCTGTCGCTTACAACAACAAAGGTAAGACAGAAGTTACACACAGTACTGGCACCAGTGAGACGTCTATATATGAAGTTTATATGATGACTGTGATATAGTCTTTAAAGTAAGTCAGGTTGTTATACATGTAATCTTTTACGTTCAATGTGATCGAAGACTGTGAAGGGTAGACGGTCATTTTTTAGCAAGGGGAGGGGTTCAAGTAAGCTTTGCTTAATATGTATTATGTTTACATATCGTACGTACCCAATTCACTAATCAAAGCCATAACATGCCCTATTATTTGTAAATTTAATACAGTCTTTGGAAATAATTTTTTTGAGTCTCTGGAAAGGACAAATGTGCAAGGTAAACAAACAGCAAACTAATTATGTTGATTAAATCTCAGGTCTTGTTAGATGCAAGGTTTACTGACAAATATGCTGGTACGCCAAAAAGCAGTTACTCAAGCAACTGAATATGATTTTGAAAACGTCAGACGTTTCAGCTAGTATCCACTAGCTTTCGTCAGTGACTGAGAGACCAGAGGGGAAATGCAGGTTTAAAAGCACAACCTACTAGCTGAAACGTCTGAAGTTTTCAAAATCATATTCAGTTGCTTGTCGAGTAACTGCTTTTTGGCGTATCGTATTACCTGGATGTCTAACCTTCATCGACGTAAATATGCTGGTACTTTGTTCATTTGTTGGCAACAGCTGAATATGATGGCGCGGAAGTTATCGTCTTGTCTGTTGCTATGTGTGTATCTGCTCACTGTGGTCTTCAGTATGGTGTCTGCCCAGTACTGTTCAAGGCGATGCCGTTGTGAAGGTACATTTAATTATTTATTACCTTGGCCACAAGGTTATATTATAGGCAGTGTTTGTGCGTTTGTGAATCAACAAGATAACTTACGAATGGCTGGCAGGATTGGTTTCATATTTCTTGTTTAAAATGTATATTTTAGACTTAAGTCTTTACAAATTAACACAATACTGTACACTTTTCACGATGTAATTATCAATTATATAATTAATTCAGATTTTGTCTATCATGATGGTTAATAATAAACAAATTAAATCGATCCAAAGGCACCAAGATGGATTGCAGTCACGGGGGTCACCCAGGCTTCCCACCAGAAGACTTGATACCATCCTCGACAGAAACTTTTCTGATGAATGACAACCAGATGATAGCTGTGTCTTTGATAGCTGTGTCTCGACTTCCAAACCTGTTAGAACTAAGCCTCGAAGATAACTCGATCACGACGCTTGAAAGATCTCCCTTCCGCCTGCGGCCAAATCTTCAGATTCTTCGGCTTGGAGGGAATAAAATCAGTCAAGTGGTCAGGGATGCTTTTCGTGGACTAAGCCAACTTCTGAAACTGTTTCTGGATCGTAACAACATCGAAACTGTAGAAGCGTTTGCAGGGATTGATAGTCCAAGTAGTTTGGAAATTTTGGACTTACAGAGAAACAAACTCACATCGATAGCGACCAGCACGTTTACTGGAGTCCCACTGCTTACGGAGCTCAACTTATCGTCCAACAACATCTCAACGATTAAAGATGGGAGCTTCAGTGGTCTCAAGAAGTTACGCGTCCTCTACCTGCATTCCAACCAGATCCTTCGGCTGACCAACGAGACATTTATGGGGCTATCCTCATTGAAGAGTCTTGTTTTGGCTAACAACAAGATACAGAATCTACCAGATATGGTCTTCAATGGTGCCATAGCGCTGGAGTTTCTGGATCTTGTATCTAACGGAATCTCCAAAATCACACGGAAAACATTCTCTGGATTGTTCAATCTTACGGCACTATACCTGGATAGTAACAACATCAGCACTGTAGAAGACGGTGCGTTTCGCGATCTGGTCACACTACACACACTGTCACTGTTCACGAATTCGCTACAGGACATATCAGCATCCACTTTTATCGGTCTGGCTCCTGACGATAGGACAGACAATACAGGACTGGAGGTGAGCATCGTTCTTTTCTACATGACTTGTTTGTTTTTATGCTACTTCTCCATTGTACAATAACTTTCCCGGCCCTTAGCCTGTTGAGTTTGACTTAATTGTACCAAGAATTAATTATTTGATAAAATTTCTTACAGCGATTAACTTCATGTAGAAAGCTCAAAATACCAAAGCCATCGCAGGCTTTGGTATTTTGTCGCATTGGAATCTATAAATCTTGTAATATTAGCATAAAGTCACAGAATCCTGTCTAGCTATAAGTCATGAAACTCGTAATGTTACATGGTTGTGTTTGAATGATATTTATCATTTAAGAATAAGCAGTGCATATTTAGAGGTACGATAACTAGTCTTGCACGCTGACTAAATAGTAGAAATCGGCCTAAAAAGAATGTAGCTGGTCTGGGGAGTTGGCCGGCCATAGAGGGTCCAGTTTGGCTGCACAGAGTCTGTGAGAAGTCGCTACGATCAAAAGAGCCTCTCTGGCCAGCCAACTGATCTCGCCAATTAAATCCCCATTTAAGGCAGATTTCTACTACTGTATTTATTTAGCCTGCAAAGGTGTCTATTGGGGACTTTGGGATACCAGTTTACAGGCAAACGTATTCTGTCCTTATTTAAGGTGCTGTACGTGTCAAGGAATCGTCTCACGACTGTGAGGAGGGAGGATTTCGCAAGGCTCACAAAACTGACTTTTTGACGCTATTCGTAAGTCGCAGGAGTTAACTATTATCTTCTCAAATTAGGAATTTTTCTCTGTTATTTTTTGTTCAAGACGTTCTCAGTTCTTTGTGTTTAGACACTTTAATGCAGATAGCCAAAAGATGTTTGGCATAACAACAGCCTTTAACCCTACCTAGACCGGGCTTTTTTTGACATGGGGGGACC